AGAGGATAGATGAAGCCAAAACTTCAATGACTGAGGTGTTTGAAGCCTTAGTCAAGGCTGATGTGTTGAAGTTAATAGAGCTTTAAAACTACTTCAAAAAAATTGTCTCAACCGAGAGCTACAATTATCAAAAAAATGTTTCGAGGCATTCTTTCAAGAATTATGACCAATTTCATCAAGAGGTGCAAAAGTTGATGGTTATAGGTTAGATAAAGTTTTACAAAGAAAGAGAAAAATTGATGAAAGCTAAAGTGTCTACCATTAATTCAAAGAATAAGTTTGTGCATAAATTGCTAACTATATATTATGATAAGAAACCGATCTCAAGACCAAAAAAGCCTATCTCTCGATTAGTAGTGACAATTAAAGTCTCTAGCCTTTTTTCATACCAAAATGACAAAGCAGTGCTATGAAAGTACAATTATGACATCGTAGTCAATCTAGATGCTACAAACATAATAGGTATAGGAGGTATGACCGGAGTGGGTGATGTTACACTCTAGAAATGCTAGAAAAAGCTAGAAAAAGCAAAGGTCAAGGAAGAAAAGGGAAATTAGAGTAATCTTATGACAGTCTTAATAAAGAATGTCAAAAGCCAGTCTTTAGGAATGAAGCTTGTGAATTTTTAAAACTACTAAAATATAGCGAGTATAACATAGTAGAATAGTTGAACAAGATGCTAGCTAGAATTTTGCTATTGTCATTGTTACTAAGCTCAAAGTTGCATTGTAACACTCTATTAAAGGTGTTCAATCAAATATATGTGTCCTACAATATATTTGTTGAGTACGTGAAATAGCTTGTTGGCAATCTAGTAATTTCAAACTATATCTCTTTTAGTGATGAAGAGATTCCTCTTGAAGGTCGAAGAAGTACCAAGGCTCTCCATATTACTGTAAAATGTAAAAGTCACATAATGGCTAAGGTTCTGATTGACAATGGCTTATCAATCAAAGCTATGCCTATAACTACTTTGGTAAAACTTCCTGTTGATGGATCTTACATAAAGCCTAATCATATGGTAGTTCAAGCCTTTAATAGGACCCAAAAAGAGGTGCTAAAAGATATAAAAATTCCATTGCAAATTGGCCCTTGCACTTTTAATATGAAATTTCAAGTTATGGATATCTCCCTCTCATACAGTTGCTTGGTAGGTAGGCTATGGATTTATATGACAGGTGTTGTTCCATCTTCATTGCATTAGAAAGGCAAATTCATTATTAATGGAAAGCTTACATGTGTGGCAAAAAAATAAGATTTACTGGCAACCCAATCGATAAATACTTCTTATGTAAAAGTGCTAAATGAAGCCTCGAAGTATTTTTTTAGATCTTTCGAGATTGCCAACGTAATATATATGGCTGAAAGATCTAAATTATATTCATCGCACCTATCTACAACTATTAAAATGATTATTAAACAACTTATCAAAATGGGATGGCAACCTGGAGCTAGACTTAGAAAGAATTTGCAAGGAATCACGATGCCTCCAACAATATATGATAAAAAAATAGATTCAGCTTGGGTTATAAACCAACAAAAGGAAACAGAATGAAAATCATGAATGAGAAAAAAGAAAAAGAATGGCTAATCTTGGGGGATATGAGCCAGAGTTTGAGTTGATGGTCATTATCTCTATGATTCTTTTCATTTATGAGGTTATATTTACCTAGATTCATTTGAAGCCCTAAATGCAGAGTTGATTGAAACTTTTTCTGAGCTAGCCATTCAGATGATATATAGGGAAAAAAGAAAAGTTAGGATGAAGAGCTATTCGTGCGTGCTTGCCCTTCAAATTTTGAGCTAGATAATTGGAAAGTCATAAAGCTGCATGTTGTCTTTAAAACTTTTAAAAAATAATTTATTGTGAAACTTTAAATCCTTAATTGCTCTCTATAAGCATTAAAAATCTTTTATGGTGTATTTATATTTGTCGTTTCAATAACAGACTTAGAAGATGCGTCTGCATTTCTATTTATTTTCATTTTCATTTATACAATCCATTTTTTTCATTATGCTTAATCATTTTCTTGCTATTCCATTTTTAAGTACCAATATTCTCTTGATCTCATCTTTTGTATGGTCTCAAATAATGAATACGAAGATAACCATGATAATAATCTCAAATTTGATTTTGAAGACACAATTCATGTTGACAAACTTGATAATGAAAAAGATTTAGATAATTACACATAACCTCTTGATTTGTTGAAATTAATAGAACATGAAGATAAGCTAATTGAGCCCTACCAAGAAATTACCAAATTAATGAATTTAAGGGATGATAAAAATAGAAAATAGGTTAAAATTGGTATATTTATTTCATTAGTTGATAGGCAAAGGCTAGAAAAACTACTCTGAAAATACGTAGATGTGTTCACATGGTCTTACCAGGATATGCCTAAACTCAATACTAATATTATAGAACATAAATTGCCTTTAAAATTAGATTACAAGTCAGTACAACAAAAGCTAAGGTGCATGAAGCTAGAGATGCTACTGAAAGTTAAAAAAGAGGTGAAAAAGCAATTTGATGCTAAATTTTTAGAGGTGGCAAAATATCTTGAATGGGTAGCCAATATAGTGCCTATTTCTAAGAAAGATAAAAAGGTGAGAATATATATCGATTATTGAGATCTAAATAGGGCAAATCCTAATGATAATTTTCCTCTACCCCATATCGATACCCTAATAGATAATACTGCTAGGTATTTCACATTTTTCTTTATGGATGGCTTATCAAGCTACAATCAGATTAAGATGGTTGGAGAAGATATGGAAAAAAAAATGTTTGTGATCGTGTGAGGGATATTTTGTTACAAAGTCATGCTTTTTGGATTGAAAAATATTGGTGCTACTTATCAAAGAGTGATGGTGACTCTCTTTCATCACTGACGCATAAAAACAATAGAAATGTATATTGATGATATGATTGCAAAATCTCATGAAGGAGAAGATCACGTAGTCAATCTCAGAAAGTTGTTTGATAGGTTGAGGAGATTCCAACTAAAGTTAAATCCTACTAAATGTACATTCGATGCTAAATCGAAAACCTATTAGGCTTTATGGTTAGTGAAAAAGAAATAAAAGTGGATCCGAACAAAATATGTGCTATTCAAAACTTATCCCCTCTTCATACCTAAAAAAAAATACGAGGCTTTATGGGAAAATTGAACTATATTGCTTGTTTCATCTCGTAACTTACCTACAAGTGCAATCCGATTTTCAAGCTTCTTAAAAAACATAATCTAGGAGAATGAAATGATGAATGCCAAAAAGCTTTTGACAAAGTCAAAGAATACTTGTCAAATCCACTATGTTGGTGCCATCAGTTCCAAGAAAACCTTTGATTTTATAGTTAACCATGTATGAAAATTCAATGGAATGTGTGTTGGGGCAAAGAGATGAAACCAACAAAAAAGGAGCAAGCAATCTACTACTTGAGTAAAAATTCACTAATTATGAATCCAAGTATTTTCCATTAGAAAAGATATGTTATGCACTAGCTTAGATAGCTTGAAGGCTTAGGCAATATATGCTTTATCACACTATTTAGCTTATAGCAAAGTTAGACCTTATCAAGTATATCTTCGAAAAACTTTCATTGATCGGAAGAATAGTACAATGGCAAGTTATGCTTTCAAAATATGATATTGTCTATGTAACTCAAAAGATTATTAAAAAGAGTGCAATAACTGAGTTCATTGCTGATCATGTGGCTAAAGATTATGAACCAATAAAGCTTGATTTTTTAGATGAAGATGTGATAGTCATTGAAGAAAATGAAATTGGTAAGAAGTTTTTGAGATGTATTTTGATAGAGTTGCTAATGTTTTAGGTCATGGTATTAGGGTAATTTTAATATTTCCTAATGGACATTATTATCCCATTATAACTAGACTAAATTTCAACTACTCAAATAATATGGCTGAAAATGAGATTTTTGTTATAGGTTTATAAGAAACAATTGAAAGAAAGATCAAATTATTGGATATGTTGGAGATTTAGCACTAGTTGTTTATAACTTACGAGGTGAATGAGAAACAAGAGATTCAAAGTTGATCTGCTACCATAAATACATCTCTGAGTTAGTCAAGTAGTTTGAAGAAGTTTAATTAGAGTATCTGCTCAAAGAGGAGAACCAAATTACTAATGCACTAGTCATTTTGGCTGCAATGATTAAAATAGATACAAATATCAAGATCCAACCCATCAAAATGTACATGAAAGATGTACTAGCACATTACTCAGGTGTCGAAGAAGAAGTTGATGGGAAACCATGGTATCATGATATTCTTCAATATATCAAAAGTCAACAATACCAAGAGCATGCAATAAAAAATGATAAAAGGATCATTAGAGGTTTGGCTATGAGTTTCTTTCTTGATGGAGATTTTTTTACAAAAGAAGCCAAGATAAGGTACTTTTAAGATGTGTAAATGTAGTTAAAGCAAAAAAAATTATTGAAAAATACATGATGGGGTTTGGGGGGGCACATTCGAATGGTCACGTAATGGCTAGATAAATTATGGGTGTTAGCTATTATTGGTTGACAATGAAAAATGACTATATTGATTATGTCAGAAGATGTCATAAGTGTCGAATTTATGCTGATAAGATTTATGCTCTTCCATTAGCTTTGTAAGTTTTAGCAACTCTATGACTATTTTCTATGTAAGGCATGAATGTCATCGGTCCCATTACCCCGAAAGCTTCAAATGGGCATAGATTTATCTTTGTGGTAATTGATTATTTCACAAAATAGGTAAAAGTTGCATCTTATGCTAGCATGACCCAATCGGTGGTATGCAAGTTCATAAAAAAGATAATATACAGATATAAGATTCTAAAAAGGATTATTTCTAAAAAGGATTATTAAGATTTTATAAATAAAGCCAACAATTCATGAAATGCCCTCTTTAATTATCAAGCACAAAGACCAAATTTGCAAATATTCCAATATACAAGACCAATGGACTAGATCAAACAAAAGCTTTTGAGGTACAGGTTAAGCATAAAAGCTTCTTTTGGTTGAAGGTGGAACCTTAGTGCAAAGCTGAACCTGCCGACTTTGTTTTCCTAATAAAATAGAAATAATGGCACGAAATTATGATCATAAAAAGTTAAAGGGTATATGCATCACTATAATATTTTACTTTAAATACATATGAGAGTACCACAAGAAAAACTCTTTAGTCCTCTCTAATCAGTCTTAGGGTAAAAGGTACATAAGTCAGTAAATACTTTAATATTTTATAACAAATATACTGGCAAATACCACAAAGCACTCTCTAGTTCTTTTCAATATATTAATCCAAGTACATAGACATTCAATTAAAGGCTGCTTCTCAGTGCAAGTTTGGCCTGATTTAGGTTGATGGCAATGGTAATTAAGAAATAGTTCCAATTTTCAGCACTTTTTGAATGAAATGGCCTTTTCAGCAAGACTTTTATGCTTGCAAGAGAAAGCTTGGGCAATGTTGCACTGGTAACCGTAAATGCAAATCAAACCAGTGATAAAAAAGTTCAAGAGACAGAAGCATACATGTAGCAAGCAAGCAACAAGTCAAAATCATTGCTTATGTCATTAAGAATTCAAAGAACAAAGAGCATACGAGCATCTTCTTTCTTGTATAGCTGCTTAAGCCGATCACTTGCTTTGTTCTCAGCCTCTTGAAAATCCTTCAATTTTGCCTATAATAAATCATCCAACTTTAGTAAGGAAATCCATAAAACTGTGCACACCTTAAGTAAAGGTACATTGCTGGTTTCTCAACATTCCACTAACAACCTAGCTATTAGGTAAGAGGACGGCATGAAAGTAAAGAAAGTTAAAAGATTACCTACCTCATACAACTGTCTCTTTCTAAATGAAACTTTCTTGAGCTTCATCCTCTCAATTACAAGAGTCATATTCTGATGACCAAACTGTAGCTCATAGAAATTCTTCCAAAGTTTATCAGTTACTGGAGTACGATCCCTTCCCTAGAACAATCAATCAATCCCTTTTAAAATTATACATATAATCAGAGCCAAATGCCAATTCTTGCACAAACTATGCAAATCAACTTACTTTTGTACTCTTTTCCACGTGCAATAATTGATCCATTGTACAATGGGGTAGAATACGCTCAAGAAGATGTGAATCTGTCTCACCGACATCCCCAAGGTATCTTACGTTATCTATCACCGTCCTAACATAAAAGTCTACCAGTGAATGAGGTTTCCTCATATTCGCTATGTTCTTCCATCTCTTCTCTAAATACATATTGCTCTAGGAAAAACCAAAAAAAAAAAAGAATGCAATGTAGTTAATTTCTATTGTTATGTCATAGTTTTATTCAATTTTTAGTTGTTACAAATGGTTAGTCTTGGATTTGCAGATAAAAATCATCAATTAAAATTATGATCTTATTAGTTGTATATAACAAAATTCATAACAATTAGCTCATATTCTAGTTTCATTCCAGGAAATTAAATCAACCGGAGTCTAACATTCTTTATAAACTGCAATATTTCTATCCTTCAACATTAAAATTATTTTTTTTTTAAAGATATGAAAAAAAATTGTTTCTCCCTTTCTATCCATATAAAAAGTACCATTATAATCAAACATAAATAATTAATCTAAAACAATATTGAAACCCTGACTACTATATGAACACGCGTATTGAAATCAATGAAAATAGGCCAATTAAAATTAATAAAAAAACTTCATAGCATCAATTAAATAATAAATTGGATTCAAATTTAAGAGAAAGAGAGCTGATCGATTGATTTCGAAGGAGAAAAGGGATTCAATGAATCGAAAGTCGGAGAAGTGATCGATCAACGGATTTTGATGCTAATCTCAATTCAGACGAAGTAAACTTTCTTTATGCCCATGAAAAAAGATTCTGTTCTATGCTAACATGCACCGACTTATCATGTCTAGGTAGGCTGTTCTACCAAAATTCATTTATTTC